AAAAGTGTAAAGCATTCGCAGAATACTTGATTGATGTTTTCAAAAAACAAAACTTGTCACCTGAAATTGAAATATTGAATGCGCTTCAAGGAAATCGCCAAACGTCTACCATAAGACCTTTTAAACCAAGTGAAATCAAAAATAAAATCAAAGTTATCAAATCAAAATCAGCCCCCGGAAACGATCAAGTCTCTCCTAAAATGTTAAAAGAACTTCCACCAAAATGTCTATTATTTATCACATCCATTTTCAACTCCATTCTTCAATTTAACTACTGGCCATCTGTTTGGAAGAATGCAAAAATCATAATGATCCCAAAACCAAACAAAGATTCATCTGACGTAAAATCTTATAGACCTATAAGCCTGCTTCCATCCCTATCAAAAGTATTCGAAAGATTAATTTTACAAAGACTACTAGAAGATCATCCCGAAGAATCCTGGATACCTAACCACCAATTTGGTTTTAGAAGACATCACTCAACAATACAGCAATGCAACAGAATAACCAACTCAATCCTCACAGCCCTGAATAAAAAAGAATTTTGTGTAGCAGTTTTTCTAGACATCAGCCAGGCCTTTGACAAAGTTTGGCACATGGGATTATTATATAAATTAAAGAAAACATTTCCAAAATATTTCACAATTTTGGAATCTTACTTATCAAATAGAACCTTTCAAATTAAAGAAAATGAAGAACTCTCCCCTCCAAAACCAATTCATTCCGGTGTTCCGCAAAGCAGTGCTCTCAGTCCAATACTATATTTGCTATACACCAGTGATATGCCACTCGATCCGACATTAACGATAAGCACCTATGCTGATGACATTGCTATAACCTCAAGTCATAAAGATGTAACAACAGCTACTTTTTTATTTCAAAATTACCTGGCGAAAATAGAACTAGGGCTAGATAAATGGAACATAAAAACTAACGCTAAGAAATCTCAACACCTCATCATTTCACTGAGAAGTCACACAAGTCCTGACTTGTATTTGAATAAGACAATTATACCAAACCAGGATTCCGTAAAATACCTGGGAATACATTTAGACAGTAAACTAAAATTGGAAAACGCATATTTTAAAGAAAAAAAAACAAATAGATTTGAAACTGAAGGAAATAAACTGGCTAATGAGAAGATCATCTAAACTGTCTCTAGAAAATAAACTCCTATTATACAAAGCAATAATAATCCCAATATGGACTTATGGGATAGAGCTATGGGGCTGCGCCAGCAAGAGTAACATTCAAATAATCCAGAGAGTACAAAACAAAACTCTGAGAATGATTTGTAAGGCTCCGTGGTTTATGACCAACCACATGATCCATAAAGACCTAAAAATTCCAACAGTGGCGGAAGTTATTAAAAACAGAAGTTTTATCTTTCAAAACAAATTGGATGCACACGTCAATCCGGAAATGCAAATAGTACAAACAGCCGAAAAATTAAAACGCCTGAAAAGAAAATGGCCCAGCGATCTACCGTCAACAACATAATTTCCCTGTTTTGCACAGGAAAATTTTCAAACAAGTTATTTTTAATTATTATTTATTATTGATTATCGTTTTTATTATTAATACTATTATTTTAATTATTATTTATTCATTCATTTTTTCTATTTCTTTTCTTTAATTTCCTTTATTCTATTTTTTTTTTCTTTTTGATTTTGATTTTCAATACCATAACTTTTAACTTATAGATTGTATTGTAATCTGATTGTTAAAATTAACAGAAATAAAAAAAAAAAAAAAACTTCTCGAAGGAGAAGTTTTCATCAAAAAATCCGATTCGCTAATTTTATGTTTTCTCGACGTTTCAAGCCATTCTGAATCGAATGAGACCAAATTTGAAAAAAGTATGTGTGTGTGAACAGATTTTTTGCCGTAAATCGACGTTTTCGCAAAAACGGTTGGACCGATTTCAAAAATTTAAAAGCCATTTGATGTATTTCGATGAGGACTAGCGTTTCTGAGTTGTGTGTGACGATCGACCGAGCCGTTTCTTTGTAAATCGCAGAAAAGTGAAAAATTTTTCGTCTACGTTTTAGCCCGCAATTCTTAATAGATTTTGAAAATTCAAAAACCGTTCGAAAGATATAGGTTGGGAATCGTGCTGATTAGTTTTTGGTAAAAATCGGACGGGCAGTTCTCTTGTAATAAAGTTTTCAAAAAAAAAATTTCGACGATTTTTTTCATTATTTTTTTGACGGTATGTACCATAGTCCTCTAGATCAGGGGTTCTTAAAGTGGGGGTCGCGACCCCCAGGGGGGTCGCGAGACTACAAAAGAGGGGTCGCAAAAATCTGATACTTTTCAATCATTATAAACAAAATTTTAAAATTAGTATTATTAGGCCGACTATTTTCACGATAATTTATGGCTTCTCAAGCTATGCTATTTGGCCAATATTTTTGATAAAATCAATGATATGAATTTATCAATGCAGGGAGTCTGCGTTAATATGTTTATGTTAAAAAATAAACTTGAGGCCTTTGTTAAAATAATTCTTATATGAAAAAACAGAGTAGAAAGTGGATCGCTCGAAATGTTTCCATTTACTGACGAGTATATAATTAGTAACAATATTTCAAAAAATATACTCCTATAACAAAAATTATAGTTAATCATTTGAAGAATATGGAAGTTTACATGCATAGGTATTTTCTCAATGATATCGATACACAACAATGGATTTGCAATCCATTTTCAATTTAAATGGAAGAAATTAATTTTTCAAACTTAAAAGCACAAGAAGAATTTACCGAATTAGCAAGTGATACTACCTTGCGACTCAGATTTTTTCAAACGTCTGTGCATGAATTTTGGATTGATATCAAATCAGAATATTCCCTACTATCGGAAATGGCAATAAACAAATTACTGCCATATTGTGCAACATATTTATGTTAATCAGCCTCTTCTACATTAACGTACATAAAATCGAAAACCCGTTCAACTTTAATATACGTTGAAAATTTATTACGATCTGCACTAACTTAAATTGAGCCTAGATTTAATTATTTGTGTAAAAATAAATAATCACATTCATCACATTAATATTGTTTGATGTTTTTAATAGGTTTTCATTAAAAAAATGTTACAAAATTTTATTTTTTCTATTGAATATGTAGATATAGTTTTGTTTTCTTATAAAGAATTTGTTACAAAAATTTATTTTTTCTATTGAATAAATATATCTATATATATATATATATATATATATATATATATATATATAAGTCGGGTTTTCCTTCCTGACGAAATAACTCCAGAACGCACGAACTGATATCGACAATTTAGCATTTGTTGGAAAGGTCTCGGGCTCCGCAAGGTTTATAGCTAAGAAAATTGTGGTGCATGGCATAGTGCCCTAATGCAAATTGCTGGAACTTCATGCACCGTAATTAAAATTTCAAGTAATTAGTGAGAATTATCAGAATTATGCTTGGTTAAGTCAACGAGCAATTCTTGCCGCAAAGAATAATGATATACACGCACTGAATTTCACCATTAAATAAAAAATTGCTGGCGATTTGGTGACATACCAATAATTCCGACTGGTTTTTCGTTTGACTTCAAACGATTGCAATTTCCAGTTCGCCTTGCGTTCGCAATAACAAGTCGCAAGGCCAATCGCTTAGTGTTTGCGGGATAAATTTCAAATAGATTATTTAGAAAATCATTGTTTTTCACATGGGCAGTTATACGTGGCCTGTTCACGAGTTGGAAAACCATCCGCTTTGTTTGTGTTAACGTCAGACCAAAAAACAAACGGATAATTTGCGGATTCACTTTCATTTACTTAGAGAAGTTCAACTAAAAAACACTTCATTTTTGTAATCGAAATAAATTCATTACTGTTTTATAATAAAATCACATTTTTCCTTTTCAAATATAAAATAAACAAAAAATTTCTTCATCTTTCTCACGAAACCATCTGGTGGCGAAACGGAGTTCGTCGGGTTTGCTAGTATATATATAGTTTTATGTCAACGTTTCCAATTATATATAACATGAGTACACATTCTTCAATCCTTATTTTATTTACATTGTAAAATAGTGCGATAACGGTTAACATATATTTTATTATTTGGAGGAGGGGGTCGTTTAAAATTTTCTAAGCTTGAAGGGGGTCGCGATATAAAAAAGTTTAAGAAGCCCTGCTCTAGATCATACTAAAATATTACGGCCCTACGACAACTCGTTTATCTTTAAAAATTCGTCAAAGTTTGCAAAAATTGGTATCGTTTTTTTGGCATTTGTCAAAATCAGATCTTTGATTTGTGCGACGATCTGCCAAGCCGATTCTTTGTAATTTGAAAAAAAGTGTTAAATTTTTCGTCCACATTTAAGTTCATCCTACCGAACCGATTTTAAACAATCAAAAACTGTTCGAAAGATATTAGTTGGGAATGGTACTGATTAGTTTTAGGTGAAAATCTACCGAGCCGTTTTCTTGTAATTAACTGTTTAAAAAAAAATGTAAGCCGATTTTTATGGAACTATTTTTGGTGATGTATCATGGTCTTATAGAACTTACTGAAATATTACGACAAGTAGTTGAATTTTAAAAATTCATCAAAGTTTGAGAAAATGAGTAGTTTTGTTGACGTTTGTTAAAATTAATATTAGATGATTTACATGGTATAACGATAGATTACTTGGTCTTAATGAATATACTAAACCATTAACGTCCTATGGAAACTGGTTCAATTATAAAAATTATTGATTTGTGAAAATTTGCTTTTAGAAGATACTCCGAGTTAACAACGTGTTCGTTCGTTTTCAATTATGTGTAATAAATCCTCTCGGAATACTTCTAATCACTCATAAATTAATTTGTTTATTATTGATTCAGTCGATTATTTACACATATCGGGAAGTTCATGTAACTTGCCTCAAGACTAAATCCCAATACCAACTAGTTTTCTGTTATGCGGCAGAATCGTTCCCAATAATATACAGATAGATAGATAAATGTAATATATAAGCTATACTTTCTGTATCTCTGCCTTCCGTTTTTCGTGACGCAATATTTGTTGTTTTGCAATACGCGATTTACGTTGTCGCATTCGTTCAATTTCAAGCCTGGCTTCTCGTTGTTCTGGTGTTTCCGCCTTACGCTTCTGGATGTGTCTTAGTCTCCTCTTCTCTCGATCGGCGGCTCGTTGTTCCTCAGTCATATTCAAACGGCGTCTTTTTGCTCTTCGTGCCTCTCGAGCATCGCGGTTGATTATTGATTTGCGAGGAGCCATTATTTCGGTTATCACTGAAACATAAAAAAGTCATTTTTAGTTTTATTTATAATCATGCTCTACAATTATAGACAACTAGCAAACCCGGCGAACTTTGTTTCACCACCATATGGTTTCATTTTATGTAATAGAGATGGGTAACTCACTCCGGAGTTATCACTCCGATACAACTTCTCCCTAGGAGTGAATCCGAGTGGAGTTGTCTCACCGGATTTGTCATATCCGACTTCCCTAAACTAGTACTAAATCTGTTACTGCGTTGTTGCTTTGGGAAGGAAGCTGTCGCTTTCTCGTCTCACAGGCAGTTTTATGACCTTTTAGGTATACGGTTTTTTTCAGAAAATATTACTTCAAAGATACAGAACAATGAAATCGTGCTTAAGTGTGAATAGCTCCAATGTATAATTTATTGAATAGTGAGGGGACTTATTTCTAGCCACGACAATCTTTGGCCGTGAATGACGGCAATCAGGAATATACACACCGAAAAATACACGAAACAAAATACATTTAATCTGGTTTTTCCATAGCCTGAAATAACAATACTTTAGACTGCAAAGTATATCAGTGACGTCAATAGTATTTAAGAAAAAATTAGAAAGCAGAAGTATTATTTGGTGAAAATATTTTATGATTAATGTTTTGCTTTTATCACAAAGTTTACTAAATTATTTTTATATAAAATTAATCGAAAAAAAATTACGAGTCATTGAGACGATCATGTGGTCGACCGAAAAATGTTTAAACTCGTCATTTATTTGTGAATTTTTTAGAAAAATTATATTATTGATATTTTTTAATTTTATTTTATTCATGAATTTTAATTTCAAAAAATTAAATGGTATTTGACAAATCCTTAGATGCATAAAATTTAATGCATTATGAACACATTTGTATCGAGTATTTCGGTTTCAAAGTTGTGGGAGTCGTGGAGTTGTTAAGCGGATCTAACTCCTCCCTGAAGCGGAGTCAAATCCGAGTCGATCCGGCTTCGGATATGATAAGCCCATCTCTATTATGTAACATTTCGTTTGGCGATTAAATAATGAAGAAAAAAAATTTTGTGTTTTATATTTAAAAGAAAAAAATTTACTACATTTCACAACAGTAATGAATTTATTTCGATTACAAAAATGAAGTGTTATTTTTAGTCAGGGGCGTAACTCCGCCGTATCAAAAATACGGGGCCCCCGAGCCAGGGAGGGGGGGCAAAGAGCGCAAGCAGAAAGCAAAACAACAATTTTTAAAAAAATTGAATAATTTTAACGTAGTTTGCATTTCTTTTTGTTATCGAGAAGTATTGAACTTCAACTTGTAAGCTAACGCTTTAAGAGAATTTATTCCTGCTGCAATATTTCTGCAAGCTCTAGCAATCAATTCAATTAGTAAAGCTTTTGCACATCCGATAAGTCAACATTCTTGTGTAGATATGAACAAATATATAAAACTAATCCAGTTTATACATTCTCCATCGAAAATTGGAATTTGGAATTTTTATAGTTATATTTATAACATTTTTAACTACCCGAAGGAGAAGTTTATGTTTTCATAAAAAAAACCTAATCGCTAATTTTATGTTTTCTCGGCGTTTCAAACCATTCTGTATCAAACCGAATGAAATTAGGAAAAAGTATGTGTGCGTGTGTGAACAGATTTTTTTGCCGTAAATCGACGTTTTCTCAAAAACAGCTGGACCAATTTCAAAAATTTGAAAGCATTTGATGTATCTCGATGAGGACTAGCATTTATCAATTTTGCGCGACGATTAGCCGAGCCTTTTCTTTGTATTAGGTGCGCAACTAAGTTCTCGCTGTTTGTCAGTATATGGCTCTACCAGTAAGGGTTGGTCGATTTTGACAAATACAAAACGTCATGAGCCAAGCTTAGACATATGGCAAACAAACTGATGCGACACATAAGTGATTTAGTTTTTGCATTATATACTTCTGATCAAATGAAAATGTCTAATGTTATGCCAAATAATCGCCATTTGCGGGAAGTGTTGATTTTCTTTTCTCATTCGAAAAAAAAACGGCAGCTCAAGTGCATCGAGAGTTACGGAAATGCTACTTTGGGCGAATCAGCATGTCGTGATGGGTTTTGTCGCTTCAAAAACGGCGACTTTAATGTTGACGACCTTCCTAGTAAAGGAAGGCCAAAACCTTCAAAAACGCTAAATTGAAGGCCCTGCTCGAAGAGGATTCGTGCCAAACTTAAGAAAATCTTGCTTCAGAATTAGGAGTCACCCATCAAGCCATTTCCAAGTGATCACATGCGTTGGGGAAGATTCAGAAGTAAGAAACTTGGGTACCTTGTGAGCTGAAGCCAAGAGACGTCGAGCGTCAATTTTACGTCTGTGAACAACTGCAGCAAGAAAACCTGTGAACCAGTGGCAAGAAAAGAAGGGTTCTTTATCAAACCGTCACAGGTGATACAAAATGAATGCCAAATTGGCTAAATTGGCCAAATATTCACTACGAAGGTTATGCTTTGCATATGGTGGGACCAGGTCGGTGTTATTTATTATGAGCTGTTGAAACCGAGCAAAACTATCACTGGAGACTGTATTCAACTCAATTGATGCAATTTAACCGAGCACTGCGCGAAAAACGGACACAATACGAGTGATTTTACTGCATGGCAAAGCTCGGCCTCACGTTTTCAAGCCCCTTAAAACTTATTGGGAACGATCAAATAAAAAGTCCTACCCCACCCGCTACATTCCCCAGATATTGCACTGTCCATTTTTTACATGGTCCGTTCGATGGCACATGGCCTGGCTGATCACCGGTTCAACTCATATGAAGACGTCAGAAAATGACTTGGTTCGTGGATAGCCTCAAAAGACGGACTTTTCTGGCGCCAAGGTATTCGAGCTCTGCCAGAAAGATTGGCTGAAGATGTGTGACAATATCTTGAATAAATCCATATGTAAGAGTTTTTATATAATAAAGTTACATTTTCATCGAAAAACAGCGAGAACTTAGTAGCGCATCTAATAAATAAATGATCCTTTAATTTTATATATTTTTATATTTTGTAAAACAATTTTTCTTTGAAGGAGGCCTCCAAACAAATTTTGATACGGAGCCCCGCCAAGACACGCTACGCCCCTGTAATTAGTGGAACTTTTCTAAGTAATTCATTAATCCAATGTCAAAATTTTCATCATCACCGTAGTTCGCAGTGGGATCATATTGAAATGCCAAGCGATTGTATGATGCCAATGATCTTATTTGTGTGCTCACGCGTTGCCTCAACCGGGCATTTTCTCTTATTAAATTTTGTCTTTCTTCGCTTAAGTTCCGTGAATACGCTTGTTGCTGGCTTGCATGTCTTGCGCGGCGGCCGATGTTCCCACGTCGTCTTCTAGGCATTTTAGACTATGGACAGAGTGGTGAATTTAACTTTAAATGCATGATCCACAAAATTTACACAGTTTAACTTACCAACTTAAGGGGTTACAACCACTGTAGATTTTTCTAAAAAACGAAAAAAAATTAGGCTTAAAATAACTTTGAACCTTTTAGAATACGAGGAAAAACATTTCATGTCTAAAACTTACTTTTTTTACTTGTAATTATGAGCTTTTACCCATGCGCGTTGGGCTGCTCCGAATTGACAGCGCTCAAATACATTTACTAAAAACGAGAAATTTTAAACGTTTTCAAATATATTATCATAAATACTGTAACTTTCATTATTTTTGCCGTCTTGTTATATCCGAGCAAATCAAATGTAAACTAGTGGTGTATGGCATCGTGCCTTAAGGCAAATTGCTGGAACTTCCCGTACCGTAATTAAAAATCTTGGTACGGAACCAAAAAAAAATTACATAAAATGTGTACACATTGATAAAATCTCTGTAAAATATCTGATAATTTGATGTACATATGTCCAATAAATATTTTTGGCCAATAAATGACATTTTTTAAACTTATATTTATTGAGAGTCCAAAACCCCTGGAACTGCCTTCCCAAAAATCAGTTAATCATCTTGTCAATACAAGTAAAATCTTTTTCGAATTATTAAAATCGGAAGCTCCGTTCTCTTAAAAACTGAGTTACAATTTTTGGCATTTTTTGCTCCTTATCTACGGAACGGCTAAAGCTGCCGCCGCCAAAAACTAATCAGCACGTCTCCTTATCAATACGAAACGAATGTTTTTTGAAATATTCAAATCGGTTGATCGGTGTTCCCTAAATCGTCGACGAAAATTTGTATCCGCACTCACACACCCACATATACACATACACATACACACACATATATATCCATTTTTTTTAAGGTATGCCAGAATATTCAGAAACCTTTGAAACGTGAAGATATATAAAAATTTTCATTTTCGATTTTTTTGCGATTACTATAACTTGACTGAATCACATAGTCAAAAATATTCATTTAAAGTATATAAATGAGCTTTAAAACTTTAGCGAGAATTAAAATTGAAATCTGAATTATTTTCGATCTACAAAAAAAAAGAAAAGAAGTGAATGAAATTTTTTTCTCCAAAAGCAATTGTTTTGTCAACACAAGCTGAAAGTTTTTTGAATCATTCAAATCGGATACTCCGTTCTCTCAAAAACTCGATTTGTATTTTCTGCACTCTTTGCTTCTTATCTCCGTAACGTCTGGACCTGCCTTTGCCGAAAACTAATCAGCACATCTACTTTTCAATAGGAATCGAATGTTTTTTGAACCATTCAAATCCGTTGATCCGTGCGCCCGAAAACGTGAACGAAATATTGTATCCGTACATTCATACATACACACATCCATTTTTTTTTTTTTGAGGTATGCCTGGAAAATGTTCAGAAACC